AACTCAACTAATAACTTCTATATTTTCGTTGAGTTTGTATCTACTACATAGTCAACAATAACGACCCTCGTCTCAATAAATTTGTTAGAGGTGACAAGATTATTTAACGACACCAGTAACTTGCATATTTCCTTGATGGATCATAGAGGAGTTTCACTAGTATTGGTGAAGCTACCGCCATGATGATGATGATGATGATCAAGAAAGCAAACAAGCTCGCCGATGTGAACTGTGCAATATTTCATTAAAAACAAGAAGAACATTAGCATTTATAAGCAAACTCATTATTTAGAATCTCATATCAAAAGTAAATTAAGGATAATTTGTTAGTGGTTGTCAACAATTTTTCTCATGAACTCTGTCGGGAACAGAACCATGAGCCCTATCTTCTACCCAAAGGACAATGCATAATTATATATGAATGGTGTATATACATACCAGATGGTCATTCATGATGCTGAAAGAACCCAACTCAACGATGCCTTTGGCGTTCATTATGAAAGCAAGTGCTATCGAATCCCGTTTAGGCATGTCGCAATAAAATGGTAGTGTTAGAGAGACTCCAAATTTGACCGCAAGTATCACAAGGGAGGCAATGACTTGGTTGCTCGTAGATACGTTAGAGAAATCGAGTTGGAAGAAATCAACTCTCATCGCACATGTTGTGACAAATAATGGCAGAAATAAGCCATTAACAAAACGCTCGAATTTTTCCACCAAAGCAGATCCCATTGGAGGGCCGTCCGGAATGACCAAACCCACAATCATTGGACCGAAAAGAGAGAAAACATGAAACCAGGAAGAGAACTTAGGAGAAATCAGGAATAGCACGATGATAGCATAGATGAAAACATCCCTTATTGGACCTCCCTCTGGTGTATGTCTCACCATCTAATTCATTGTACGTCTAAACACAAATGCTGCGATCAAAATGAAGATCATAGTGAGTCCTAAATTCATCAATACTGTCTTGTTCTCTAGATCGTGAGATATTTGCATTAAGTAGCTGATGTTCATGAGAATCATGGACGAAATATCGCTGGTCATAGCTGCCGACAGACATAACCGACCAAGTTCTGAGTTTATGATCATCAGGTCACTGAGAAGGCAATGTATAACGGAAAATGAACTGCCAGAGTACAATATTGCAAGGAAGAAACTCTTGTTCTTCCTTGCATATACATCTTCGCCTTGGGGGCTTACTAAGGTTAAGTCGACAAGGAAACCGCTTAGAAGAGGCAAAATAACGGATAGAAAACCGATGCATAAGGCCTTGTTTCCGACCTTTCTAATCATGCTCAGGTCCATCTTAACGGTACTCAGAAACAGAAAGAACATGTAACCAAATGCTGATACCGTGCCAAGAACTTGAACGCTTTCATCCGAATATGCAATGTTCCTTTTCCCTAGTAGTTTTTCATTCCCTAGTATCGTTTGGCCAAGTATTATTTCCGTCTAGAATTATCAAAACAACAAGAACATAGATATATGTATATATATATATACACTTCAGCTTAGTTGCAAAGGTAATTAATACAAGAATGAATAATATTCAATAAGGAAAATATATAGCATAACGTACCGCTAACTCTGCTATTAGCATTGGCAATCCTAAGCGCCTGAAGACAAAAGAAATGATTGAGTGAGAGCGAAGATGACTGATATCTGAAGGTGAAGTGTCGTCCCACGATATTCCCAGATTGAATCCGTGCTTGTCTTGTTTAGAAACAATTCAAACATTCCAGGGGTATAGATCTTGGAAGGGAAATGGAGGCAAACCTCCACAACTTCCATTTGTATGGAATCGCTGGAATTTGATTGTGCCATGTTGCTTTTTCGAAGAGAAATACAGGGTTGATGAAGAAATGAGAATTGAAATTAAGTGTGAAGATAATTAAGCAACCAATGACAAGAAATTGATTATAATGAAAAAGAGAGGAGAGAGTTAGGCCAAAAGGAATTGGAATCGATTGCCTTATAAAGATTGAGGGGAAACGAAGGAGGGATGCAACATTAACTTTTTTTTTCTAAGTTTGTTAGTTGTTCAGTTGTTGGTTTCAACAAAATTTGTCACTGTCAGGAACAATTGCCTGTAAGCTGATCGCAGGGAAGAACATCATGCAGTGCAGATTAAACCAGG